AAATTTGTTAGCGATGAGTTCACATAAAATGGTATGAGCTGACCAATCAAACTTTGCCGACATCGGAAAAATCGGATTTCCGTCGTTATTCCGTCGGAAAATCGTCAGAAAATTACGACAGTTTATTTCCGTTGGAAATCCGTCGGGACAAGACGACGGATTTCCGACGGAATACCGACGGTTTCCGTGTCCGTCGGAAATCCGTCACAAAATTTCGACGGATTTCCGATGGATTTATTTTGCTTGGAAATCCGTCGGGATGCCGTCGGAAAATTCTGACAGAAATTTCGGCCGTCGGAATACTGCTTGTTTTCTTGTAGTGCATTCAGTTACACCAATGATATTTATACTTTATGTAGTACAAATAAAAACATAATGGCAAACACAATGATATCATTATCAAAATAAAAAACGACAAACTAGATCGTGGAAGTTGCTTCATTGTTTTCGTTCTTCTATCTGTAACAACAAAACAACTGACTTTAAACTTAAAAAGTCCCCTCAAACACTAGAGTAGAAACGTGAGCACATGGCTTTATTTAGCCGTACCTGAAACTGAGACCAGATCCACCTAACTTGTCATCCACTAAGTCTGACAATCTCTCCACTTGTGAAGCCGACAGATAGTTAACCCAATCACTCACTTCTCCTTTCCTAAACAAGTGCCTATTCTCAAAGTTCTTGATCGATTTGCTTGACTTGTTCACTTCCAACTTCTTTAGATTCTCGAAGCTACACAGATCCGAGATCGCCTTCACTACTCCCTTTYKYTCCTCTTCTTCAGTGAAAGGAAGTCCCAAGAAGCTTGCAAGCTTCTTCAAGTTGGGCTCTATGTCTTCTTTCAGATCCTCGTACCTTAAGAAAAAGACTTTCTCTGGYCTGTTCAAGCTCTCCCTCCAGTATCCCAACATGTGTTCCCAAAACGGACCAAACCCGATCACTCCTCTGCAATACAGATCAAACCCTTCTTCTAACGAGACCGGGCTCACTGACTCCGACTTGATGCTGTTGATGTAATGCCATGAGGAGATGAATGTGTCAAACGGGTTCCGGCATAAGTACACGACCTTCACACCTGGTTTCTCGATCGAATCTTTCAAGGAACCGAAAGGGATGTGTGTTGCGAACGTTCTTGGACTGGCTAGACCGGAGAGRTCAGGAACGTCTCCGTTCGCGTAAAGCTTGTACTCGAAGAAAGGTACRAGGTCATGAGGGTTGGATGTGAGAAGTGGGTGGTCGGTACTTGAGGAAACCGGATCAAACAAGTGTCGGTTAAGGATGGTAAAAGTTAAAGMTTTTAACCAAGTTGTACCGGATTTAGGTATGGTGGCGAGAACGACGTCGTTTTGAAGTGGTTGGAAATGTCTTTGGAATGAAATGATAGCTTGAATTTCCTTGGATTGGCACCAAAAACMTTGGAATAGGTAAAGGTAACGAGTTCTCCAACCTCTCTCCTTAGGCAAAGACTCTAACATCTCTTGAAACTCGTAGCTTAGCCCTTCATCTTCTTCTTSGCGTTTCSGGTYGTGKGTTTTGCCTTCKTCCTTGAGGAGCTCGAGCTTGTGACAAATAGAGAAATTTGGGATCGCCAAATTTCGAATGGTCTTGATGGTTGAGGTCGCCATTGTTTTTGTCATATATATTAGAGAGAAAATGTGCT